CGTGGCCCCGCCCACCCTGCGCCGGAGTGGCAGCGGGGGGGCGCTAGGCTGGGTGGGAGGTGAGTCTCCCTTGGGAAGGGCCGCGCGGAGGGGGAGGAGGGGACTGCGCCTGCGCGAGGTACCCAGAGGTGGGCTGCTGCAGGGCCTGTGGACTGGGTTGGTCACGTGGTCTGTGCTGTTGGGGGGGGTCTCTAACTGCCCCTTGCTGCCCGCAGGAGGGATGGAGGAGGAGGAGGGTGGTCCCGCTGCTGCCCCGGTGAGAGAGGGTCCCGTGGGGGACATGTACGGCTACATCAAGGAGGACCTGTTCACCTCGGAGATCTACAAGGTGGAGATCCAGAACCTGCCCAAGTACATTGGCTTCAACGACGTGAAGAAGTTCCTGGCCAAGTACGGGCTGGCCCCGCACAAGATCAAGCTGTTTGGCAAGCAGACCTTCGCCTTCGTCACCTTCAAGAGCGAGGAGGAGCGGGACCGGGCCCTGCGCATCCTCCACGGGACCCTGTGGAAAAACCGCCCCTTGAGCGTGAGGCTGGCCAAGCCCAAAGCCGACCCCATCGCCAAGAAGAGGAAAAAGGAGGGCGAGGAGACGGACCAGGACCAGGCCAAGCGCCGGACCGTGGCCAGCGACGACGGGGAGGAAGAGCCCCTGGGCAAGCGGATCGCGGATGTGGTGACCCCTCTGTGGAAAGTGCCCTACGAGGAACAGCTGGTAAAGAAGAAACAAGAGTGCGAACAAGTGCTGCAGAAACTAACCAAGTAATTTCTCTTTGCCCCCCCCCCATGTGTTACATTTATGGCGCAGTTTACGGGTTAATCGCACAGTTCGGTTCAACTGGCTGCCTGCCCAAAGTAACTGTCCTGCCCTCAAAAGTTCCCTCCGTGCAGCTGTATCGAGTTAGAGCTGGAAAATGCGTGCTGACTTTGTAGCTGGTTTCTCTTCACCTTCGATTTGCATGTGTAGAAACTGTATTTAACTTTGAAAAAAATGTGACTGCGGGTGCATTACAAAGAGCCCCTCTGGATGTTCAGGTAAAGGCCTGATAGAGTCTGATGTTCAATCTACATCGTGCCTTTACTTGAACGTCTAGAGGGGCCCTTTGTGATGCACTCCTAGTTCAATTTTCTTTACAGAGTTAAATACAACTGCATGTTAGCGTGGCTAAAATCCAGCTCACTGCTTTTCTCCCTTCGTAGATATAATGCAGGGGTGTCAAACACATGGCCTGCGGAGCCATACCATTCGTCCCACAGCAGTGCCTGCCACATGCAGCATGTACTGGCTCCTGCCCCAGGCACTGCATGCTGTGCGCGGAGCTTGTCTGGCTTGAGCTGCACACAGCATGGGGCTAGTCTGGGGAGTGTGCTGCATGTGGTGTCCACACCAGCCCAGCCCTGCATGCTGGATCCTGAGCTGGTCTGGATTGGGTCTGTAGGCAGATACCCATGCTGGATCCAGCACACGCAGACTGGTGTGGGTGCCACATACAGTATTCACCACAGGCCAGTGCTATGTGTAACGTGTGCCCCAGATTGGCCCCACAGGCTGTGTGGGGCATGTGCCCTGGACTGGCCCCGCGCATCTCATACCACAGTGGCATATGCTGCATACTATGCATGAGGCTGGAAGCAGCACATGTGCTGTATGTGGTGCTTGTACAGGCCCAGCCCCGTGGGATGGATCTGGCATATGGGGCCAGTTTGTGGGCCTGATCCTGCCCCATACCCCTTATCTGATGCATGGGGCTAGATGAGTTTGACACCCCTGGTGGTAATGGTTTAAGTTTCTTTTTTTAATATGAAAGGGCCATTTTCTCTGTCATAGTAAATAAAATCCTCCAATCCTAGCTTCTGACAATCATGTTAGTCTCAAATTTGATATTCATAATTCTGGATCAGCTAGCTTCAAAACATCCTGCCAATTAAAATATGTTGTTTTAAGGTCAGTTATTCCACTAAGCACTAAGGTGAGTCCTGAAAAGTTGGAATTACCAGCCTCTCGGAGAACTGAAAAATGAACTGTGGCAGGTGTAAAACTAATTATGAAATTTTGATTGCCTTCTGGCTTCTAATGCTCTCATTCTGTCATTTTTGTCTTACTTGGGCATTAAAATATTAGACCAGTGTAGGATAATATATAAAAGTAGAATGTTGGTTTTATTGATACTTTAATTCATTTACATGGCTGTCCCTGTAAGTAAAGCATGTGACCGTCTTAGTTTTTAGGCAGTCAAAAAAAAAAAAGCCAGGGGAGGGTGACATTTTAAATGTCTCTGTTGAAATGCCTGTACTCTGTACATCTCTCAAACTTTTGCCCTTTCTGTTTCGTGCAGGGAAATAGGAAACAACAACAAAGCACTGTTACCTTGGCTGTTTGTGCAGAAGCAGAAGTATAATAAAATCTGTTGCCCAGTAGAGGGAGTAAAAGCATCACCATTACAGGTAGTTAAATTTTAATTTGGGGCTTGAATAGGTTATACGTAGTACACTCTGCAAGTCACCTAGTGTTTTTGGCCTTCAGGGAAGGGGCACGTTACCACAGTAGAAAAAAATCTGGAACTTGATAAATACATATCTTAACTTCATGAATAGCCATTTGACAAATTCATAAATTCATTACATTAGCACTGTAAATTAATATTGGTTGAAATGAGATGTTTCTAGGCAGGAACAGTTAATAGTTTGTTTGTTTTTTTCCCCCATGTTTAAACTTAGACTGAGTACCGCAACAAATGTGAATTTTTGGTCGGCGTAGGTGTAAACCAAGAAGACAAAACTGTGGGCTGTCGCCTTGGCAAATACAAGGGTGGAACTTGTGCTGTAGTGGAACCATTTGACACTATTCACATTCCCGCTCTTGCCAAAAAGGTAGTGAAAGCCTTTCAAGACTACATAAGGTGAGATGTAGATTAGACTTAAGGGTTGCTGTTAAAGGCTTTTGCTGTCTTAAATATTTTTAGGATTAAAAGTTTACCGGTACTTTTCTGCAGCATCTCCTCAGTACATGGTTGATTTGGACACGGCTTCTTTCATTTACTTTAGCAAGCTTCTTTAGTGTATTCGTTACTTGGCCGTATGCAGAGCAAAGTATGGTTCTTGTCCTTTGATATTTACACTCAAGGCCAAATAGATGATACAAAGCAAATGCACAAAATGCCAGATGGCAAGGAATTAAATGGTTCAGTATCACGATAATAGAGGCTCTTTTTCCCCAATCTCCCCTCCCCTTTTTCTCATCCTTACTGTTGAAAATATGTGAAGAAATCTGTTCTAAAGAGGAGTTTGAATCATGAAGGTTGGACAGTTTGTTTTAACAGAAAGTGGGAGACTTCTTCATGCGTAAGAGTGGACTTGGGTGGGTAGGAGGGGGGAATCACAAAGATGAAAGGTGGGATGGTTCTGAGTAAAGAACAGTTAAGCTCAGGAAGCAGGAAAAGTGAGATGATTTAAGATGTGGGCAGAACCCTAAAGATGAAAATGGCTCACTCATCAAGCCCCTGCTTCCTATGTGGAAACCAGTAAAGGGTTTATTAAGGACAGTGGCATTATTTGATCCTTGTGAAAAAGGATGGAGTGAAAGGGAGTATGGTACAAATCATGACAGCTAGAAAAGGCAGCTGTTGCATTCGCCGAGATGTGTTCTATGCACTTATCTGAGTACTAGCCCAAAAGGATGTGTTTTGCAAATACTGTATTATCCCTCTTTACAAGTCAGCCAAGACTTTTAGCTTTTTAAATGAACTGTTACTTTTCTCCTACCTCATATGGTAGACTCAGGCAGTTTAGCTGGATTATAAAGTATTATGTAGGGAACATTTCTGTTCAGTAATTGAGATTTTTTAAAATTGCAGGTCAACCCATTACTCAGTTTACAGCCCAGAAACCTATGAAGGTCACTGGAAGCAGCTCACAGTCCGTACCAGCAGGGATGGCCATATCATGGCAATAGCTTATTTCAATCCTCAGGTACTGAAGATGGCGTAGACATAAGCAGGGGGCGGAGACCCTTAAATCTCACACTCTTTAAGGAGTTATTTAATTTCCTTAAGCATAGCTCTCTCATAAGACCACTACACTCCTATTTCATCTGACCAAGGACCAGTACTAGTGGATTATCACCATTCTACCTTTGTTCCAATCCTGTTGTTCCCTTCAGCACATTTGTGGGTGCTTGAATTTGCCCCACAGAGCAGCTTGTAGGATTGTGGCCAGTGAATGCAGTCATGCTGCAGAGGCCCTTGGGAAAGATGCTGGAGAGGACTGCTCTAGAT